ATCGATGACGTGTAAAGGGTCAGGGCGTTACAAATGGTATCAGAGCCGACTCTCCGGAGTACTGAGTGTGGGCCCCTGGCGTCTCTCGGTGTATGTGGGCGGGCTTGCAAGCTGGTAGGCTACTGCACGGGGACGTGCAGCCTTATGGGGGGTGGATTGTAAGGCCCCGGTGTCCCACATCGGGAATGGAGGGGGAGTTCCTGGGCTATAAAAGTAAAACCTAGACCCTTATATAGCATCGAGGCCTTTTCCGAAGTGGTGAAATCCCTATTAGAACTCCCCAGTTAAGCGTGCTTAGGCTGGAGTAGTTCTGGGATGGGTGACCCACTGGGAAGAGTAAATCCGTGCGGGTGTGGCCCAAAGCGGACAATATCGATGACATGTAAAGGGTCGGGGCGTTACATTTCGTCCCTGAGAGGGGTTCATATAGTTTTTTCTAATACAGATAGTCATCAATCTGCATCTTTCAAAATTCAAAATTTGTGCCATTGAATTTATCGATTCTAACATTTTTGTCTGTAGCCATCGCTCCCACTCGAACCAATACTCTGATACCAGTTGTTAGGAATTGACATTTCCTAACCAAGATCGGCAAGATACGAAACAACAAACAAAGAAGAAAAACGAATCAAACAAATCACACATACAAGAACATAAGGATTTACGTGGTTCACCCCAAAATAAGATTACGTCCACGGCTGCTGCAGTTTTTCATTATGATAAGAAAAATACAACTCTCTCTTAACCTAAAAGAGGCGCCCCTCATCTGTTTATAAGTAAAGAATTAGGATTACATGGAAGCACATAGGAATTACGAAAGTACCCAAACCCTCCATTGGACCCAGTGTTTAAGGGAATAGTAAGGTTGAGTAAACAGTAGTTATCAGGGTCTACCGACCCAACAAAGAAGATACACATGCCCCTATCAAAGTCTTATCCCAACTACCCATATCCTAATCAATCACATCCGAAACAGTAGCTTCCATTGACATACCCACAGGTGGAATCAGAAGACAAAATGACAAAGGTCGAGAAATCCGTGGGTCGATTGACCATCACTAATCTGCCATCTGAACCTTGCAACAAAGACCGCAAACCATGAATACTTTGACAAGTGAGAGATGGGTTACAGTAAAGCATCCAAAAAAGAGGTCATTGGAAAGTAACAAGCTTTGAGCAAACAAGCCACCAAAAGACCTCTTCCAAACTTCAGAATTAATAAACCCAAAAACTTTCGCCTTCGATTTCCCCCACAAAAGTAGAGATGCCCAAGTATTTGCCATTAGTTTCCATTGTGTTTACTTCAAATAGATCAGTGATAGATTTTGCTTGTCATTCTTGAACATTCTTTCTGAAAAAAAATTGTTGATTTCCCCAAATTAATTTTCTACCCAGAGACTTGCTTATACTCCTATAACATATCAATCAAAATGTGAGCTTTCTAAGAAGAAGCTTTTCCAAATAACAAGCTATCATCCACAAAATATAGATGTAAAACACCTGGACCCAACCAACCCAAGGATATACCTGATAGCAATTTTCAGTCAATCGTCTTACTTAGGGTTGTTTGGAATGACCTAAATAAGTGCACTTTTTGTCTTTTTATGAAAAGATGTGTAGAAAATAGAGATATGATATGATGGAAAAAAGATAAAAAGATAGATTATTTTTGAGTTGCCAAACTTGACCTAATCATGCATGATAGTGCCTCCAACACAATAATGAACAAATACAGCGAGATAGGATGGTTGCAACTGTTAAGATAGAACCCATGTTACCTGGAACGTGGATTATTTCGGTACGTGGAACGGAAACGAAAATGTGATACATCACATGGTTTAAAATGTGATACGATAGGAATAGACTTCTATATGTTACACTTAAGAATTAAAGGTACTTTTAGAATAAATTTCTTTTAAGTGTTATGTATCTAATATATATATATATATATATTTCATTTTTGATGTTTTTGTTTAGTCAAAACTTAAGTTACTTTAGATTTTAATTCATTATATTTGATTTTTTCCATCCTAAGGTAACATTTTAAAAAATATATTGTTAAAAACTTTCGGAATCATTTCGAATTACTAAATTTACCATTTTAAAATGAAAATATACCATATTTCAAAACATACATACCAATACGTAATTCGCTAAAATATTCGCGTTTCTAGTAATACATACTGAAACCCCATCAATAAGAACCCAATTGAAAATAGTTGTGACACAACTCATAATAAGCTCAACAAACCTCTCATTAAAGCCCCAATCGCAACATCGCGGTCTTCAAAAACGGCCAATCAACTCTATAATAGGCCTTACCCATGTTGAGTTTTAATGCAAAAAAAACCTTCATTACCATGGTGCCAATTCTTGAGCCAACGAAAGATCTCAAAATTTTATTTATCATTTTATTTTTATTCTTTAAACTATCAGTTTTCTTTCATTTCTAATCTATCAATTTTATCCATTTAATTCATAGTATTTATTTTATTAGTAAATTTGTTTGGTTCAGGTGGTTTAATTAGGAAAAAATTGTACAAATCACTAGCCATTAAAACATAATTTAATGAATGAGAATATTATTTTAAAATTTTAACTTTTTAAATCATATAACCAACTACTCATTATTCATATCATTTTTGACCATCAATATAACAATATCATCTACTAATTTTATGGTATAAAAAAAAATATGTGGAGTTACACCTTATTTGATTCTAATTTTCTGTAAAAAAAAAATTTGTGGTTTTTTTTTTAAAATTTTTAGTGAATTTTTTAATATTTGAATTTTTATATTTTTGGTATTTAATGAATTTTTTTTAAAAAAATTCACAAATATTATATTTTTAATTATATTTATATTAAATATATCTAGAAGTAAAAAAATAATTTAAAATATTAAAAAAATTACTAAAAATAAAAAAATACAAAAAACAAAAAATAATAATTTAAAAAAAATTAAATTCAGGAAATTGAACCAAATGAGTTTTCTTTGTTCTTTCCTTTGTCATCAACAGGCAAGGGTGAAATTTGGGTCACTTGTTGACATCCCCTATATAAACATACTCTTTTTTTTTTTCTTTTTTTTTTAAAGTCACATAATTTCTTTACTTTTTATATAATTTTTTTTATAAAAAATAAAAAACATATTTATTTAAACCGTTTTAATCACTTGTTAAGTGGCGACATAAGATCATTTCTAATGATTCATCAAATTAAATTTTAATGAAAAATGTTACTTTTTGTTCTTCTAACGTTTCATCAAATTTATCATTAAATTTAAGATTTCACTTTTATTTTATTAAACTAAAGACTAATGTGATTTTCATCAAATTTTCACCACTAAATATTTCATATGTCTCCAAAATATCCACCTCAAAATAAAAATTTTAAAAAAATTATACTGAGCAGTTAACCGGCCAATTGTCACTCAATCAATCGATAATTTGATATAAAGTTACACAACCTTTAATTGAAACACTTTAATATCAAAAGTAACTTTTATTTAAATAAATGCAAGGTTGGTGATGCTACTGAAGTTTGTAATGTATAAATTGGTATGCTTGTCAACCAAAGCGGCAGAGTGAAAAATGTCCCTTTGTTTTACGTTGTAAAATTTTTAATTTCTTTAAAAAAATCTCTAAGTGTACTAAGTTTTTTAGAATTTTAGAGTCTGTAATATAATCTTTGTAAGTATATTTCTTATTAATATGAAATGTGAGTAGTTTCTCTTTTTCCTTAAATATTTCAAAAGGATAACTCTTCTATTTTAAAAATTTATTTTCTTTTTAGAAAAACTAAGTTTATAGAATGCTTGTTTGCTCATTAATATTACATGCTTTGAACCTTCGTAGTATCTACTGTTTTCTATTTTGTTACTGAGTGACCTTAGCTGAAGAGCCCGTGTGAACCGTGGTTAGGCATTGGAAGGCAAATTGTAGGCAGAAAGGGAAAGGTAAAAAATAGAAAATAAAAATATACTATGTTGAACGAAACTTAACTTCAAGGTGGGAGTACATGTAGTGAAAACAAACATTGTCTAAAAATTGTTTTGCCATAGAAAAGAATTTTAGAATAAAAGGAGAGTAACCCGAGTAGAAATATTAAGGAAATATTGTTCATAAAAGAATTTAAAAAATCAAAATTGTATGCCTTTAGATAAAAAACTTAGGATTAAAATCAGAACCAGTACTAAGCTTATACAAGAATTAGAAGATCAAAAATTAAGATATCAATTTCTTTTATCCTTAGCATCTGACAGATCCCTAGAAAATTACAGTTTAAAAGTTTCTCAAATAAATAGACAGATAACTGTAAAACAGGAAGCCTTAAAGCTAGCCATACAACAGCTTGAAGATCTATTAGCATAACTGTAGAATTAGTTAGATAATTCTCAACGTAATTTCAAAATAGTGGTAGACCATTAACTCACCCCTTCCCCAAAAATTAGTATCAGAGCACTGTTTGATTTTAGGACATTTTTAGTTAGTTTATGCATTTTGCTTATGGTAATAAAGTAGTATTTATTTTTAGACATTTTAGTTATAAATTTCATGTTATAGTAACTTTTAATAATTTTAAAGTACAATTTAATTTTGTGTATGAAAAAAGTAGAGTATCTAGATTTATAACTTAGCAGCCATAACCATCGCCTTAACATAGATAAAAATAAATTTCGTTGTAATTTTGAAGATACTTTTACACATCAACTTTATACTGAACATAATCCTCAGTTAAATAGTATTATCGATTATCAGATTAATTTTACAGAAAATATTAAAAAGGACATAGATAAAATTAGTAATTTTTTTATTTTATTTATAGAACTTCTCCGTAATAATCGTAATATAATTAAAAATTAAGATAAAAAATTAGGTTATATCCCAGACCAGTATAGTTTAATTTTACAAAAAAAAAAAAAAAAAAACACAGATTTAATATCAAAAGTAACTTTTATTAATAAATGCAAGGTTGGGGACGCTACTGAAGTATATCGTCTATGCGTGTTCCTAATCTTTCCCAATTATCTACAAAGCAGAGATACCCCTAACATCAAAACCCAACCCTAGCCGGCACTCTCTCTCTCTCTCTCTCTGAAGAAGAAGAAGAAGAAGATGTCGCACTTTGGAAGATCTGGGCCTCCAGACATCAAGGACACCTACTCTCTCCTCGTCCTCAACATCACCTTCCGTAACCCAATCCCTTTCCCCAATTTTCTATTCTCTCCTTTCTTGTTTTCATTGATTTTGCTTGATTTCTGTAAATATTTATTATTCTTTTCTTTATCTTCTGTAGGAACCAGTGCAGATGATTTATTCCCCCTCTTCGAGAAGTACGGCAAGGTCGTCGATGTCTTCATCCCCAGAGACCGAAGGTTTCGTACATATATATTCATGGGTTGTTTTAATTTTAAATTTTCTTTAATGGGTTTGTTGTAATTGTTCTGACGAGTTAGCTATTGTGTAATTCAACAATTTTAGGACTGGTGATTCACGAGGTTTTGCGTTTGTTCGGTACAAGTATGCTGACGAAGCCCAGAAGGCGGTCGACAAGCTCGATGGTATGTTCTTAATACTATGTAATAACTTGTAATCTAGTGTCCCAAATAATTTTTTGCAATCAGAGATGTTTTGTTTGTATGTGTATATGTGTTTGGACAAGTGTTGGTGTCGGTTGTTTTTATATTTGCTTTACTTTACTTTATCAGGACGAGTTGTTGATGGCAGAGAGATAATGGTTCAGTTTGCTAAGTATGGGCCGAATGCTGAGAAAATGTGAGTCGCCTATTGTGATTAGTGTTTTATGTTTCATTTTATGTATGTAGTGGAATGGATAATTGACTGCCAATTTGTTGCTTATTGATTTATGAGTCATTGTGGGCTGAGTTGATATGCAAATGTTATGCCTTTGTTACTTCAAGGTTTAAGCGTTTTGAATTTAGAATAAATGTGTGTTTCAATTTGGTTATGGTAGTGATAAATTTCAAATGGATATGCTGGCTTCATTAACAGGTCCACAGGGGACCATGCTACTTGTGCACTATTTGTTCTAGCCCTATATGTTACAAAATACGGCGAAGTTTCTTCTATTATACTTTATTTCTTCAGCTTAGATTTTATTGAAATGGTAGGTTTTATTGGAGTACATATTGTTTCTCTGTTGAAACTGTTTGACCAAGTTACATGGTTTGGGTTTTCAGTCAGAAAGGGAGGATAGTAGAATCAGCATCAAGGTCAAAAGGCAGCTCAAGAAGCCGGAGTCCTCGACCAAGGTATGCATACTTTTTCTTTTCTTTTCTTTTCTTTTTGAGAATGATATAGGAAATGAAGTGCTCCTCTCTTCAAAAATAGTCCCATGTGGAATTTTATATGGCATTTAGGTCAAAGAAGTTGGCAAACATTTGGGAGATGCGGATATTGATTATTCTCAGTTATGTAGCTATATCTGATTTAGTATACATGACTTTATTTTGTTGGAATATTTGTCTTTTGAGCAACTACTATGACACCCATTTGTCCGCTTCTTTATGGCAATTTAGCACCACCACCACCACCTCCACTATTTTACATCCACATTATTGAGGGTGTAGGTATGGCAATTGATTGTGTTTTGCATACTATTTTACATCTATATTATTTGATGACTTGGAAACTAATCGTGTATTGCATGGAGTCGTGCTCTTCCAACCTCTTTCAATATGGAGCTGCCCCTCTCCAAACTTGTCTTTAAGTTGTCATAGGGTGGGGGCGGAAGATTACGGAAGAGTTGGGTTGGGACAGATATCCCAACAGGTTATGAAAAGTCCTAAACTGGGATGGAAGTGTATGATGATACATCTTATACATAGCTGATGTTAGCAGTTAAAATACAGCTTAATTTACATCCATACTATTGAGGAAAAATAAATTTCATTCCACATGGCAAACAACCTTGGACATGGATTGAACAGCACAACAACAGTTGTCTTCTTAAATCCTTACTAGCAGGAAACTCTTGGCTTTTGCTTCTGCCCTTGCTCCCACTCCCGCTCTCAACCTGAAACCTATGATACCAGAAAACGCTAATACCCTAACGAATTACGTATTAATATGCACGATCCAAAATATGGTGCACTACTGTTCCAAAACGGTGAATTTAGCGATTTGAAATGTTTCTAAAAGTTTTTCCAATAAATTTCCTTAAATGTTTCCTTAGGAGGAAAAAATCAAATATAATGAATTAAAATCTAAAGTAAGTTAAGTTTTGACAAGACAAAATATAAAAAATAAGTCATAATACTCATAAAAATGTTTTGCTACATGAAGAAGAAAAATTAAATTTTATTAGATGCATAATAGTTAAAAGAAAATTACTCTAAAAGTATCTTAAATTCGCAAGTATATTATATATACAAGGCTACCCTTGTTGTATCACATTTTAGAGCATGTGGCATATCACGTTTCCGTTCCCGTTCTTGTTTCTGTTCCCGTTCCCCCATATTGGAATGATCCACGTTCCAAGTAACATAGCCTGAACCTTTTTATATATATAATATATATATATATATATTTATGCCCAAACTCCCATGATGGGTACTAATCGGGTGGTGTTTTTAGGGTAACTGTTGGTTCAGTGGTTAAAATCTCGACCTATTAACCTTATGGGTTCCAGTCTGAGGACAAATTGTACATTTATGCCAAAGGTTTGTTATGTACCCAATTTAACCCCTCCAAGCACCCATTAATGGGTATTAATTGGTCGTTTTTTAAATCTATATTTATGTTACTACAATGAGATTCCACTTCAGAATGCTATTGAACTTTTATTTTTTTTAATTCTTCATCTTTTTAAAGCTTGTAAAATACTTGGATTGAGGTGGCCTTCAGCACATGGAAGATCTGTACTTCGAAATAGAATGTTGCATAAATATTGGGATTTGAAAGGGAGATAGGTTAACACAACTTATTGTGGAAAGAGAATATACCTGGTACTTTAAATAGATACATAACAGGGGGTGTGTTCACAACCCTGCTCTGTACAAGGTTTGTGTTACTCTTTCAAACCATCTATCATCCAATTTGGTGTCTTCTAAATCTTCATAAATCATGAATTATTATAATTAAGAAGTTAGAACATTTCTTGAGAGGGGACTTGTTTTACCTGTGAGTTATTATTTTTTATGCCTTAAATTTTCGATCTTGTTTGCTTTTGTCTTTTCTCTCCACTCTCTTCTTTGACATCCCTGATAAAAGATTCAGGAGTATATTTCTATGTTATACTATTGACTGTTTAATTGTATGTTTGTTTGTTTTGTTTGTTTGTTATTTTTTGAAAACAATTTTAGATACAGGGATGAATACAGGGACAAGGATTATAGGAGGAGAAGTCGCAGCAGAAGCAGGGATAGATATGATCGTGATCGGCACCGGGGAAGGGAAAGAGATTATCGTCATCGAAGCAGGAGCCGCAGTGCAAGTCCTGATTATGACAAACGCCGTGGGAGAGGTAGATATGATGATGAGAGGCGTAGTCGGAGCCGTTCTTATGAAAGGTATTTAGTGTTCCCCCCCTCTCTCTCTCTCTCTCTATATATATATATATATTGCTCTTCATTGAATTGTGCTTTTGGACCTTTTATCTGATGCCATTTGGATATTTTGAAGTGCCTCCCCTGCTCGTCGTACCCCTAGTCCTCGGAGGAGCCCCTCTCCTCGCAGGACACCTCCATCTAGGGGTGGGAGTCCTGATGGACGCAATCACAAAGAATGCTCACCTACTCCAAAAAGTGTGTCTCCACGTGGTAGACCTGCTGATTCTCGAAGCCCTTCCCGACATTCCGATGCTGATGTAAGTAATATTCCTCAAATCTAAGGTTGATTGCATCCAGACTTTTGTGGCTTAACTGGTTATTGGGATTTCTGTTTTGTAGGAATAGGGAGTGATATAGTATGTGATGAATCTTCAGCTCGTATTCTACTCGTTGTACTGTGTGTAGTTGAAACTGCTGTGGGGGAGGACATCTTGAGATTTTCAATGTTATTATCGAATCATTGAATGCTAGAATTGATTGCTCAGGGCTGATATTTAAGGTTGACTATTTTGTTGTACTTGATGCATCCTTAAGTTTTGATGGTACTGTTGCACTCCAGTTTTCATGGGTTGGCTGCATTTTTAATCTTTCTTTGTTCTTCTACCTTGTTTTTAAAACATATTTAATTTTGTTTGCATCTTTGTTAATATCAATTCAGATAACTGAGCTTTTTTACTTGTGATGGACCATGTACTGGCCTTCTATATTGTGTCTGGGAAAAGTGAATGTGGCTGACTTGCTGATGATGTAGCAGCTGTTGATGCTGTGTTTATTTTGCGGTTGGTTGATAACATTTCTTGCTGGTTGCGAAGTACGTTGTTTTTTACAAATTTTCTCTGATGATGTCATCATTGGTAAGGTTTAAAACTTGCATGCTACTGAAGTCCCATTGGACTCTTGACTTTTGACCTGATCGTCCTTACTTTTGCTGACTTCAAATCTTGGGTCCGGAAGGCAGTCTTAGTAGCAGTGATGACTTAAAAGATGGTTGCTGCCCACATGCTTTAAGATGTAGCTGATGCAGTTAAACTGCTGGACCAGATATACCATAGTGCCGATTTTAATATGAACCTGCTTGAGCTGGATATTGTAGCATGAGGTTGGACATGGTGACATAGTTACATACTTTTTACCAATGTTTGGTTAGACTTCCCCTCATTTATTCTTGGTTATTAGACTGTTACCAATTGCTGTGGCATGTATCAATGTGTTTTGGTACATGCACCGGTGAATATGGTTTTGAGCTGATACCAGTTGCATATTGTTACAGCACATGAGGTCGTGAATGTATATGTGAAATGATAGCCAATATCTTCATACATCGGTTGTTGCTGCACTTCTTGCTGATAACTTTTGAACCTGGTCTTACCATTTTTCGTGTTGATGAGTGATGCTTGGTTTGGTAGCTGTGGTGCTCCAGTAGCTGTGCTTTGTTTCATTGCCTTCCAGTACATCGTGCTGATGCTGAATTTTAAGTTTTGGTTTCCTAGTCCATTGCATTGCTCTTGAAGGTATTTTTTTGCAGTCATCCAATATTTTGTCGTCTTTGTTGCCTGTTTTGTGCATATTTGGATTATGTATCTGTTTATTTTTTAATTGCATTTTGTTGAATCTGATTACACTTCAATTTGTGTGGAAGCTTTTTAGCTATGGCAATTTTATATCATTACAATGATGATAGCATATCCAACAAATATTCAGCAAGGCTCATGGTTCACTTTGTAGTTGAAGTTTTTCACTGGGTTAAAACTTAACAACTCTCTGTAGCCATTGTTTTGTTGGCTTTCAGGCTAGCATTATGGTCTGTGCTTTCCTCTCCTTTCATCCTAATAGCTGTTGACATGAAAACTGGTGTTCAATTATTGTCATTATTTTTCACTTGGGTAATACTTGTTACAGGGGAAATCATTTCTGGTGGAGAAATCACCAAAAAATGTTCAGGAGGAACTCCTATTAAGGGGGAGGGAAAGGGTTCTGACCATTAATGAGTGAATTTACTAAAATAGCTTTGTGGACTTCTATCAACCAGCTGTCTATTGGGTCTGTCATCCATCAATATTTTTTAGTGCAAAATTAGCTCTTCATCTCTGTTTTTGTTATTCTCTTAATACTGGTCCTTTGATTGCTGCTTGAGGAAAATATGCAAAGCCTCTTCTCAAATGTAAGGTTGCGTTGAGAACCGATGTCAATCTCGTCTCTCTTCACAGCTAAGATGAGGAGCAAAGCAGAAACAAGCCATGCAACAGGGTTGCAATTTCCTCTCTATTTCAAATTTTATTTTGTTGTACCTGTCTCAGATCCAAGTTGGAACCACTCATTGAACTGCCTTTTTCTAGGAGCAAATATTCTAGGTCCATTCCTGTATCCCTGTATTGCTTGTGAAAGCCTAGTCTTTTCTACACCTTCAGAACAATATATCTGTGATGTTCTTGATCTTGAAGCAATTGGATTTGACAAGCAATAGGCTTTTTGTCAAAAACCTTGCTGAACTACAATGGTCCCAAAACCACCTACTGGTTTCACCTGAAATGCAATAGAAAACTTTAACTTATTTGAGGAGTCAATTTTATGAGAATCTATTGTCTAGGTTTATTCTCTCTTCTTTCTTTTTTATTATTTATTTTTAAATCAAATTTGACAAATCTCATTCTGCTTGTGTGATTAAACCCTCTCATCAGAATTGTGACCAGTCCTTGCTAGCTTGACTTATCGAGCAATCCTTTGGGTGATGCCATCTGTGTCTTTTAGTCTCTTTAGATATCTTGAATCTTTCTTCTAGTTAAGTGGTTTGTTTAGTGAGCCTAATGTATATGGTGTTTTCTTTTAGGTAAAGTTGGGGGTGATAGTGTACTCATTGAACTTTTTGTGTCTAAGATAGGAGTGGTGGTTGCAGAGGGTTGACATTGAAATGTTGGCTAAAATTACAAGAAAATATTTTTAAAAATATTTTGCATCTTTTTGGATATTTGTTATGTCAAATGTTTTTATTTTTTTTGTGATAAATGGAAAACAAGCTCATTTAGAAAGAAAATGTTTCACTTTTTAAAAGTGAAATATTTTGTAGACTAAAGTTTTTTCACCGTCATCACCACCACCAATACTGCAATTACCATCTTGCCATCTCTACTACCAACTATTATCACACTGTCATTACTACTGCCACCTATCACAACCACACTAGTACTACCACTACTACAGTTATAGGTCCTGTTTGGTAGGGTTTATTTTCAGCTTATTTCAGCTTTTAGTTTAATTTAAGTTATTTTGATGTGTTTGGTTCAGCTTAACAATACGGCTTATAGCTTTTTGTAAATTAAAAATCAACTTATTCTTTGAGTGGGGGAGGAGAAGCTTAATTTATAAGTAAAAAATCAACTTATATTCATAATTATAAGCTACAAGCTGTTATGTTATAAGTTGTAATCACTTTTTCACAGCTCTACCAAACGGGATCATAGTACGTTTATGGAAAATGTTTTTAGGGTGTGAAGTGCATAATGTGCTCCAAAAATTCAAGATAGGACCCAACACACAACCCATACCAGACTGGATGGCGGCGCGTGTGGTGGTTTTGGGTGAAACTTACTTTCTCGATAATTCCCTTCCTTACAAAACTTGGGTTGCCCATTGGGGCTCATTCCATGTATGACGACTTTGAGTTTATATACTTATATAAACTCTCTCTTTGTTTCAATGTGGGACAAGCTATTTAATAAGCAAACTTATTTTGTCTCTTTAACTTTTATTTTTACGAATCTGAAAATGACGTCAACTTTTTATTTACTCGGAAATATTTTTGACGAATCGTCTTCAAGGCATGATTCAACACGTGACAAAGAACGCGTTGTCATTTAGATTCACCTCAAAAGGTGCACGGGTCCCGCATCAATTTGAGCTCAAAATTGCCCAAAAATAAGCTTAGAAATTTTTTTCTAAAACTCATCTCCCAAATGCAAACCAAACATACCTAAAATTTCCAACATTATTTGAGAATCAAAAGAACCGCACACATTAGTACTAAATTTTATAGAAGTTAGCCATTCTTGCCTGTTCATAACCTGGCTTAATTGCAGACGGAGGATCTTACGTATAGTTAAAAGGGCTTGGCTTTTTTCTAGTCCTTAATCGGACTGGACTGTGCTGTTGGGCCCGTGGAGGCTCACCACGGGTCTCGTTTTGATAATCTGAACCGTTCAATGTGTAGAACTCGTCGAGTACTATAAGCTTGTAAAAAATCACGTTAATCGGATATCGGTAGCTATGTGATCAAATTAGTTTTGTATAAAAAAAATAGACGGTGAATAAATTAACGGTTGACAATAATCTGATTTGATCATATAATTACTGATATCCGATTAACGTGATTTTTTACAGGCTTATAGTACTCGACGAGTTCTACACATTGAACGGTTCAGATTATCAAAACGAGACTCGTGGTGAGCCCCCATGGGCCTAACAGCACAGTCCAGTCTGATTAAGAACTGGACAGAAGCCAACGCCTAGTTAAAAAGCTAAACAAAGTACCCATCGGCTTAATGTTTTTGATGAGATTAATAGTATTCTAATCTGGAGCACACTCGTCCTTTAACGTATCTATCAAAACTTGACTATCAGTATCTATCAAAACTTGACTATCAGTTTTTCGTAACACAAGCAAGTTTTCCATCCACTTCGCTACATGTGGGTTATGCCTACCGTTGTGTTATGTACTTAGAAAAAATTATTCAAAAATAAAATATGTAGATAACATGCATTCATTTTATATATAATCCACAACACACTAATTTTAAATGTACACAATATACTTCACTTTTATAATAAAATTAATCTTGCTAATGACAACTTCAAGGGTTGTCAATAAAAAACACAAAATGTAAAATTATTTATAATTTTTATATATCTTTTACACAATTTCCAATACTTACAACAGTTTTAAAGATTGTTTTTAACATTTTTCATAAAATTATGATTAAATTTTAATAATACTTAGAATTATTGGTAATTTTTATTGGTAACTCCTTCCTGTGGAGTTATCAACCAATTTATTATTAAAAACTACAACATTTCGCTTAATTTCAAAATGTGGGTTACTTATTTCTTTCCACGGCTACATAACTAATTTGCAGAAAATGTGAGTTGGTCAACGAAAATTTTCCAAGTCTCACAGAGCACTATCGCAATAGTTGTCTTTGATGAAAAAAATTTGGTCAATGAAAATTTTCCAGGTCTCACATAGCACTATCCCAATAGTTTTCTTTGATGTAAAAAATTACGGACTTCGACTTGGATTGGGACTTAGACTACCACTATAGCCACGAGAGCATCAACAATAATAAAAAAGGTGTACCATTGATTTCTTGACCCCAAATTTTTAAAGACCAATGCCCAAGTTTACAGAGTATGATGAGATTAAATGATAAAATTAAAAATAAGATGATGTTAAATAAAAATATAAAATGAAAATGTGGTTATTTATGCGCTAATGCGATGGTATTAATTAGTTGAAATTTAGGTTGCGTTTGGTTTTCTTATGGAATTATTATTCCAATCAAAAAATTTCAAAACTCTTTTCAAAATTCATAACCAAACATGTAATTCAAAATTAAATTCAAAAATTATTTTCAAGACTCATAACCAAACACACAACTCAAAACTCTTTTTAAAACTCTATTTTAAAATATAAAAAAAATTTAAACAATATATTTTTTTATTTTATTTTTTTAAATTATTTTGCTGATGATGAGTGATGCTTGGTTTGGTAGCTATGGTGCTCCAGTAGCTGCCTTTCGGTACATCTTGCTGACACAAAATTTTAAGTTTTGGTTTCTGTACGAGTACGAAATAATTTTCTCGTATAATCTTGTCGATCAAGTTTGCACTCTTCCAAATGTCGTCGTCTTATCACCTGTAAATACAAATGTGAGCTAGCCGTCGAGTGTGTGTTAGAAATCCTTCCGATGCCTAAGTTAGCAAATAGGCAATAGACAATAAGCTTTATGTATTTGTGAATAAGAATTGCAATACCTGTCCATAGGTTCTGTCATGAGTTTATATAGATTCTGCCAGATACAATTCTAGTAGGACTCTATCTCTCCTTAAGAAAGCCCTCCTAAGAGTTACATTCCTAAAGGATGGTGTTTATCCTTGAAACACCCTCCTCACTACGAGCTAAGTAAGATGACACAACACTCTGCTCGGCTAGCTACGCCTAACCGAGCTACCTCGCTTGGCTCACTTTCTCTATTCGAGTCGAGCCAACCTTGTCTGTTCAACAGTGCACCGCTGTGCTATAACTAGCTCGGCTTTCTTACCACAAACGGTGCCAATTGTAATAACATAAAAAAAAAAATACCGTATTTGATGATAAAGAAATCTAACGAAGAAGATGATCAGCACTACCACGCGATCGCTATCTGCAAGACAAAACACCCCCAACCGTATCCGGGGGCCTTTCGACGCCCAAGCCAGTCCTCTAATATTATCAAAATATTTAATGGACTAATTCATAGAGAGAAATTGCGTACCTCAACCGATGAGGGTGTTGCCTACTTATAATATCCAATAACTTACTTAATAAGTAGTTTGAATGTTTCAGAAGTCCTATCCCAAATAATCTCCGGTTGTTCAAGACTTCTATATCGATAAGATTTCATATTCTGATGAGTTTTGCATAACATAAAACACTAATGCACTTTTTGATAAAAATTTGACAACTACCATATATGTGATAATCCATAACCATGCCACGTGACAATGCCTTGACCCAAATAATTCTTTTGATTACTTTTATTTCCTCTCAGTTTCTTAGTTCATTGCATTGCTCTTGAAGGTATTTTTTTACAATATTTTGTCATCTTTGTTGCCTGTTTCATGCATATTTGGATTATGTATCTGTTTATTTTTTAATTGCATTTTGTTGAATCTGATAATGTACGGGGAAGAAATAATTCTCCTCGTATAATCCTGTTGACTAAGTCCACGCTTCTCCGTACGACGTCGCTTTGTCACCTGAAAACACAAACGTGAGCTAGCCGGCGGGTGTGTGCCGGAAACCTCTCCGATGCCTAAGTCAGAAAACTTGACAAATAGACAAAGCTCAATGTATTCAGGAAGCAAAATTGTATGTTGTGTTATGTTACCTCATTCAAGGTGATGCTTGTGAGCTTTTATAAGTTTCGAGTGGCCCAATCCTAGTAGGACTTTTATTCCTCCATGCAGAGTCCTCCTAGGATTCATATTCCTAAAGGATAATGCTTATCCTTTTACACCCCCCCACTGCTTAAACCAAGTGGGATGGTTTTTACTACGACCGAACTACCGCATGACCGGGATAATACTGGCTATGCCGAGCCACAGAGTAGGCCGAACTATCCTTAGCTCGGTTCTCCATCCACTCTTTATCTCGGTTCCCTCTCGTTCAACCATGGTGTGTTTAAACCGAACTACCAAGTAGCAAGGTTTTGACCATTCTAACCATAC